CCCAGAAGAGATACTTCAACAAGAATACCAAAGTGCCCAAAGCCATTAGCCTAGCAGCTTGGAGTACTAATTACAGAGCAAGTACTCAAACTGCAATTTCCTTTCTGGCTGTTGATTAGTGGCGCACAGAGAGAAAGGCTAGATCACAGCTTTGTGTACTGACCAGCAGTTTCTCTCCCCTTCCAGCAGCCCCTTCAATGACCGTCCAATCTGTAGGATCTGCCACGAGGGCAGCAGTCACGAAGAGCTGCTGTCCCCCTGTGAATGTACAGGAACCCTGGGGACTATTCACCGCAGCTGCCTGGAGCACTGGCTGTCGTCTTCAAACACCAGCTACTGTGAACTCTGTCACTTCAGGTTTGCAGTGGAGCGCAAACCCAGGCCACTGGTGGAGGTCAGTACGTGGGGCACGTCCCTGAAAGCTTAGCTTTACTGGGTAGATCATGTTTGCTTTTATGCAGGCATCACAGTGCCTTTGCAGCTCCACTGAAGCCAGAGCAAGATGAGATTTAGGCTTGGCAATATGAGGGCAGGAGCTCAGGGAAAGGATAGAAATAACCCCTCATTTTGAACCAAATCAAAACAAGTGAGAAAAATGGGGTTGATGGGTTTGCATTCCTGTAAACCTGAGTGAAGGTTTGGGAAAGGGTGTGCAGCAAATTCCCTGAATACCAGCCTGGTTGAGACTGGACGAGAGGGAAATAACAGTTTCTGTGGCAAGGACTCAGCATATTAAATATAGGTCAGGATAGGTCAGAAACCTAATTTCCGTGCCAAGCCCACCAGAAGGAATTGTTCTTGTTCAGTGCCTGGCATGTCCAGCCATTTGTGAGTGACCTTTTGGCCTCCTCTTTCCTGTGTACCAGACTCAACAGTGAATTGAACAATTGTTTCCCCCTTATCAATGGGGTTTTGCCAGCTTAGATGTTTTAGCAGCTTCATGAAGTTTTCCAGGTTTTAGGGGTTTTCTGCTCTTCAGGAAAAGAAAACAAAAAGAGTAAACCCCAAATCACTGTCTTGACACTATTAATGATCTTTATCCTCCCCTATTTTAATTTGAAAACAGTAAAAATTATGGTTTCTGTTGGAATCAAGAGTGAATTACAAATAATAACAGTTGACAAAAGTGAAGAGAAGCATCTTCTTGACCCAGCTGGTGACACAGGCACTTACATGCTGAGCTTGGGTTCAAGACAACTTGTCTTTCCCATTCATCTTAATTGTTCCTGTCAACTGTGTCAGGACTGGTGGAAGGAGATACAGTATTAACAATGGGGCACCTTGTTTTGCTCTTCTTCCTAGATGAGAGGATAGAGGATAAATTGACTGCTGGGAAGTGGGTCAGGGGCCCATGCAGAGGGTGAGAAGAGGGTGAACAGTTCACAGTGAAGACTACCAAAGTTGCTTTACACTGGATTAAGATGGGCATGCACATTTTGTGTCTAAGCCTAAGGATGTCTTCATTCTTCCTCAGGATCTGCAAAAACAAGAGATGAGATGGCACAGTGTTTAGCACAAGACCTATAACCAGAGCAAGCCTGGGCCAGCTGTGCTTGATTGCCTCTGGCTGGTTGTCTGGTACTCCTTGCAGGACTCCATCCTCTGCAGGGCACCTGGTCCCAGTTTGAGAACTGCTGAATGTTCTCAGACTGTTGGGCATTAAGCAGCAAAGTCTTTGTGACTGAGCATTCTCCAGTGAAGATGACAGCATGTTCTTTTGGACAGCTGTTCTGAGCCTGTGCCAGGGAGTTTTTGGCTGCAGTTTTGGTGCAAGGAAGGTGCGTGGAAGAGTTTGCCTTCTGAGCAGAAAGATAAGTGATGCTGAGGCAGTGCAAAGTGAACAGTTTGATTTTAGAGCCCAACTTCTTCAAGCTGTTCCCTCACCACAGCTGCTTGTGAGGCTTTTGTGGCACAAATGGGATGTGACACTGGTCAGAGCTGCTGCTGATGGAAGTACTCAAAAGCAAAGCTAGCCCTGACCGGACTGGGAGAGTCTAGTTGCTTGATGGTTCACTGATGGAGTGAGGCTTCTTTTTAGCAAAAGCAGTAATAAATAATAGCAACAACAGCAGCGATAATTACAGTAATAATGATAAACTGCCTTTTATTTCTCAGCTGAGGACAAATAAGAACCATGTGCAAGAACATTTCTGAAATACACTTATATATTTTTATCTTTACTACCTATTATTTTCTTGCTTCTCAGCTACTACCCGCAGTATTTTAGTGCGGTAATCAACAACTGGGTGCAGTTGCAGAAAAGGTCATAAAAAAAAGAGATGCTTTGTGATCTTATAGGAGTATGTTTTAAGTTTAGAAGGGAATTTAAGCTGTAAAGTTGAGAGCAGCAGAGACAAAGTGGAACTAACATGAGTTGTTTGCAAGGGGACACATTAAGCAGAAAGATAACAAAAATTCTTGATTTCTGTTTGTCTAATTTAAGTGTGTCCTGAAGGTTTGTACTTATTTAATACACAGTGCTTCAAAATGCAAAGATCTCCCCATGCAGATAATTACAGCAAATCTGAAGGTTCCCAGACCATGACTAAAGCAGTTGCAAGGTGCCAGATTCCCTCATCCTTTGTGTCCTAAAGGCACTTTCCTGTATGTCTCTCTGTGTTAGAGTATGAGGGCATGGAGGGAGCTTTATCAGGTATAGTAAGACCATCTTTCACAAAAACCTGCTGCAATGCTTGGACAAGTGACAAGCCAAAGTGGCCACCTGTTTTTAATACCTTTGTGTGTGTGTGTTTGGGGTGGGGTGTAAAGTTCTTTTCATTTAATGAGACAGTTAGTTCTCAAAAATTCCACTGAAGTAGGTAATGACAATGGTAAATGTTCCTCCTTTCACTGGAGGTGAATGATGAGTTTACCAATGCATTTTAGGAGGTCAGGAGGGACTACTGTACTCATAAAGCCATTTGTACATAGTCTATGGAAGCTTATCCACTGACTCACCACCAGGCCATATCTCACACAGAGAATATATCCCATTCAGGGTTCAGTGACAGGTAGTATAAAAATCCTTGAAGCAATCAGTCATGATATTGATCTTTTCCCCTAGAGGTTTTCCATCAGGGAAAAAAAAAAAGATGGTATTTCTGAGTATTCAAAGGCATATAATTCACTTTCTTAAAGAGGCCATAAAAAGAAGAAAAAGCATTAAATTATGTTTTCTCCGCATACCTTCTCTGGATTGATCACTACTTCTTAAGGGCTTGAATGTGGGTGTGGAAGAAATCTCAATGGAAACAAATTGAGATACTTCACTTGCTTTATCTATAAGTGTCATATCTAACTTCACTGCTGTTAGCACTCACCAAAGGCTGCAGCAGTAGTGAGCTTGAAATTAAGTAAGCAGTAAGTGTGGTGGCTGGTTGTTCAGCTATGTTCCTTCCTCCCTGTGTACATCATTATGGAAGCAGCAGTGGATTTCACAGAATCACAGAATATTCAGAGTTCGAAGGGTCCCACGAGGATCACCAAGTCCAACTCTTGGATTTCTTGCTATGCATCATGATTTGATGAGAGCAGACCAGTGAACCCATATCATTTCTCTCCCCCTGCCCCCTGCCATGCTGCTAGTTTTCTGTTAGTTCATTATGAAATTAAAGAAAGTGCTCTATAAAATTTTGTTGCACGATGTCTGTTGCTCTCTTTATGCAGCTGCCTGTTCACCCTAAGGATGTGATCCCTTGCACTCAAAAAGTCCTGATACAAGGGATGTATCTACAGCTGTATCCTGGCTCCTGCACACATTATGTCTAGGATGCAAAGATGCGGGGAGATCACTTTTGCTTTCTCTTCCCAACTTACATTATACACAACAGCCTGTTTTTTCCTGAATGACCTTTGCAAGGAAAAGCAAAGGAAAAATACCATTCATTTTGTCCTCCACTTCCTCTTTTGTACTTCATCTTTTCTCCATCATAAGCTTCTCTCTGGTCAACAATATACTTCTCCAGGAAGACATTCCTTTGTCTATGCCATAGTATGTGTATTTCTGTCTGGGAGAGAAACATCTTCCAAGAAATGTTCCAAGAAATCTGCTAACTGTTTGATGCCCAAAACCCAACCAGAGAGGCCAGAAGTGGCAATACAGTCTGTCAGGCAGATCCATTCTCTTAACATTAAATTTGTGAAGCTTCACACATTCTTGGTCAATGTCTTGTTTTGCAACTCAGATTATTTTCTCCTGAAGAATTGTGTTTCCAGACCATGAATCAGGCACTGTGGTGATGGTAACCTTTCCTTCAGCACTCAAGGAAATTAATTTGATCATTGCCAACCACTAATTATGTCTTTTGCCTCCTGCTACATGTTGTGAAAGAGCTCTATGACTTGTCCTTTGGCAATTCAAAGCAGCACACATTTCACCTCCTCCACAGGTGTTTGTCAAAAGCTGGTCATCCAAAAGGAGTGGTCTCCCTTACAGTTCTATGTGTCCATCCAGGCTGTCCTACTTGTGTCTAATTTGCCAAGTTACTGGTAAGAATTGCTTTCTGCTGAGCCTTCACAGACTTTGTTAAATGGTAGCTAATGTGCTGTGGGTAAGTGCAGTGTCTCCTCATGCCCTACCTGACTTTCAGCCTTGCTTATGGACTGAGCTACCTGGGAACTCTTGTGCTCCCTCCAGCTGATCGTTCTTCTGGTGGGACTTTGCTCAGAGGCTGGGCTGATGCTCCTCAGCTCTCCACTGAGACCTGGAATTTCCTCATTTCTCAGTCACTTGTGAACTTGTTCGCCACAGCAGCACTGGGAGAACAGGCTGTGTTGTTGTAAAGGAGCAAGAGATGGTTTGTGATAGACAAAGAGTGTTTTTCATGTTGGAGATCACTGAGTCCTTCTGTTCATCTCCCAGCACCCAGCGAGCTCTGCCACAGAAAACTGAAACCACCAATGCCAATCACACATAATGTACTGGAGCTTTCTGTAGCATCTTTGGAGCTGCCATTTGGAGTCACGTTTTTGCTACGCAACATGTTTCTGTTCCAGCACTTGGCAAGCATCAACAGCACAAGTCTAGTCATTTCACTTGATTTCACAGCTCTTTCTTCAGATAGGGGGATTGCTTGGAGACATCCACAGCCCTGCAGTTAGTTAAAAGGAGCTATTTGCTGGTAATCCAAGAGATGCTGTCCATGTACACATTACCAGTACATGCACATTCCCCTCAGTCTGAGGGTTCTATATGGCAAAATTCAATTCAAGAAGTGCAGTTAAGGTCTGAACTCACCTCTTCCACATGTGCCAAATGCACAGCATCCCTGTACAGTCTGATGGACACTACAGGTGTGTGGGATATGTGCTTGGGCACACGGATCTCATTATGAATGTGTCTAAGGAGGATGCACCTCAACGAATGCTGCTGCTGAGTAGCCCTACTTGTGTCTC